TTTTATTATATATGTATATGTTTTTTATTAGTGTTATATATATATTTATATATTTCCTATTTTGCATGTATATATGTATATTACTTTTGATTTTCTTTTTTTATTATTATTATTTTACTATATATATATGCTTTTACTTTTTATATATTTTACTCATTTATTTATCTATTTTATATTTATCCTATATTTTATGTTTTATATTCTTTTACTTGTTTTATTTATTTATTTACATTATCATTTTATTTTTATTTAGTTGTTTGCTATGCATATATTAGTGTTATTGTTTTTTTATTTTATATATTCTATTCATTTTATATTTACTTTATTTCTTTCTTAATCTCCTTATTTTATTTGTTTTACTTTATTTATCATTTATTCATCCCTTCTAACCCATATTTTGACTTTTAAAGGGTATATTTGTAAATCCGTCAAAGGTAAGTAATTTTGGATCATTATTTTATCTTTTAATTTAACTTGTTATTTTTCTTAATTAAGACAACTGGAAATTACGTAGTACCGAAAGGGCGGTTCAAGGGTGCTAATCCTTCCTTGACCGTAACCGACTCCCGAGCCCGATATATTTCTGGTAAGACGCAGATCATGTAAGAAATAGGGTATCCGATCAACCCATTTATCTTTAAATAAATGATCGGTGGCGACTCCAATCCACATTTTTTCAAGTCGAATCCCAATTTCGGGGCCCAACCGAAAGACGGTTGCGACAATTAATATGCAAAAGGAAATGTAATTTATAATAATTATTTATTATTTAATTAATTTAAAATTAATTTTTTTATTAATCTGAGATAAATATAACACAATATATATTCAAATACTACTCTTAATAATTTGATATTAAATATTTGCACCTTAATATCTAGAGAAAATCGCCTCAGTGACCAAAAATACCTTATAATATACGATTTTAACCAATTTTTTTTGGATTTGCCAAAATGACCAATAAAATCGCAACGCGATATCAAAATCGCAACGCGATTTAGAAAATCGCAACGTTAAAAAGAAAATCGCAACGGTCAAAAGAAAATCATAACGCGAGCTTCCAAGTTCGCAACGCGATTTAGAAGAAAATCACAATGCGATTGATAGAATCGCAATGCGATTTATAGAATCGCAATGCGATTGAGAGAGTCGCAACGCGATTTAGAAGAAAATCGCAATGCGACTGAGAGAATCGCAATGCGATTTATAGAATCGCAATGCGATTGAGAGAATCGCAACGTTAAAAAGAAAATCGCAACGGTCAAAAGAATAGTTAAAAAAAATTTTGTTTCTTAAGAATTTTCTCTAAAAAGATATTATCTGCGCGGACGTGTCGAAGACACGTATTACCACGACCACGACCACGACCACGGCCACGGCCACGGCCACGGCCACGGCCACGGCCACGACCCCGACCCGAGACGAGACGGCGGCGGCGGCGGCGCGCGAGAGTCCCCCTTGTCCTCTTTCACTCAACAAGGAAGTGCAAAATACAAGCCTTAAATATAATTCCCAATAGTGTTTCCAATACTATGTGGGATTGAGCATTACCAACACTTGTTCCCAATATCATTATTCTTCATAAGTTATCATCATTCTTTTGTTCAACAATACCATATATTAATGAGGTATATTGGTTCATTAACACGACTAATTCATATTGTAATGGATGATAACTTATGAAGAATAATGATATTTGGAACAAGTGTTGGTAATGCTCAATCCCACATAGTATTGGAAATACTATTGGGAATGGTATTTAAGGCTTGTATTTTGCACTTCCTTGTTGAGTGAAAGAGGACAAGGGGGACTCTCGCGCGCCGCCGCCGCCGCCGTCTCGTCTCGGGTCGGGTCGGGTCGGGTCGTGGTCGTGGTCGTGGTCGTGGTCGTGGTCGTGGTCGTGGTCGTGGTCGTGGTCATGGTCGTGGTCGTGGTCGTGGTCGTGGTCATACGTGTCTTCGACACGTCCGCGCGGATACTATCTTTTTAGAGAAAATTCTTAAGAAACAAAATTTTTTTAACTATTCTTTTGACCGTTGCGATTTTCTTTTTAGCGTTGCGATTTTCTCAATCGCGTTGCGATTCTCTCAATCGCATTGCGATTCTCTCAGTCGCATTGCGATTTTCTTCTAAATCGCGTTGCGACTCTCTCAATCGCATTGCGATTCTATAAATCGCATTGCGATTCTATCAATCGCATTGTGATTTTCTTCTAAATCGCGTTGCGAACTTGGAAGCTCGCGTTATGATTTTCTTTTGACCGTTGCGATTTTCTTTTTAACGTTGCGATTTTCTAAATCGCGTTGCGATTTTGATATCGCGTTGCGATTTTATTGGTCATTTTGGCAAATCCAAAAAAAATTGGTTAAAATCGTATATTATAAGGTATTTTTGGTCACTGAGGCGATTTTCTCTATCTAAAATAGGGTAATTATGCTTTAAAGCCTTATGTTCAGTTTTGCATTCACTTTAGTCATTATCTTCAGTACTTTAGTGTTTGGGGTTTATGGTTCATTGGACCCTTGTTGTTCTGTTTTTTCGTTTCTATCCCCTGAAATTATTATAAAATATTTTTTATTTTACTTTCATGTATTTAGTAAATTTTACATATTTATGCTTTATATTATTATTATCTATATATATATAGACGGTGTACGCATGAATGATTGGTATGATAATTGTTTTCATATTTGTTTTATTTGTTCTTAGTAGTTGATTTTTTTGATGCGCGTATACATATATTTTTACCTATATTTCAACTTATTTTTATTATATTTTATATTCCTCTATTTATTAATGAACATGTTCCAATTACATTTGTTTCCATTGTATTTCTTTATCTGTTAATATTATCCGATTAGTTTCAAGAACATCAATTTGCAGAATGGGCGTGGAAAACATTGCTTGGTCAAAGTAGTGCGATTTGATATGACGTTCTAACGAAATATGAACTTGAAACAAACTGAGTTTATTTTGCTAATTAATTCATTTTTTATTTTAAGTCGAATAATATAATGTATGTTTCTCTAAACAGTAATTTATTTTATTTTATGCAAAATATCGATATACAATTTACATTCGATTTGCATTTTTATATATTCGAAAATAGAATATTCTTTTACAAATGAGAAATAATTGAAATAACTTTCCAAATGAAAGATTACAAATTTCAAGATTTCTCATTAATTTAAATGATTTTCTTTAAATACTTAATTCGAAGTAAATTAATTAAATTTTAATAAATGGATCTTACTTTAAATATCGATGCAAATTTTTTATTTTCGTCATTTACGATGACGTGTAAACGATTTTTGGGAGCTGTGGGGTTGTTTATCATTCCCTACGCGTAATCGACTCCTCGATCCAAAAACTGAATCTTTGATAATGCAGACCAATTTTTGTCTTAAAAATGATTTTTTTAAATTATTTTAAAAGACGTTTTTATGTATTCGACCTACCTAATTTAAAGATCGATGACAACTTTTTTTTTCATTTAATTCAAAATCAACAAATTTTCAAATCAAAGTCATAATTATTTTTTTAAATGATATTTAATGTTTAAAAAAAATGGTTATGAGACATTTGATAGAGGGAGGGAGGGAGGGAGAGTGGTGGTGTCAGCTACCCATGTGAGAGCTTTGGCTCGTGTTAAAGGCCAGATCTGCCCGTGATCAATGCCACGTGGCTGTATCCTCTGTGTATCTTCAGTTTTCCGGATGTTTCCAATTCGACCAGATGAGATTAATATTATTGTGCTTCTTTTAGCATACAGTTCTGCGGTAACGTGAGGGCACGTGCCGGATTGTCACGTGAGTTGTGGTGAAGACGCACGTGTTCATCGGGACATCTCGCATGTGTCGGGTCTTTTTCGTTTTGCTCTCGGATGGTTTCTTGTCACTATACCTATTTTGCCAAAACGCTGAATCACCGACCCTCTCTTTTTTTTTTCTCCTTCTGTTCATTCACCCAACCACTCTTACTATAGTTTTAAAAATGATAAATAATGTATTAAATTTAATAAAAATAATGCATTTGAGTTCAGATACATAATTTTATAAATATAATTCCAACAGTAATTAGTGCATTTAAAATTATTTAATACCACGTTAAAATTTTACCAATATAGTTTGATTCAAATAACAATTAATTATATTTTTAAAAAACAACTCAACAATAAAAGGAATTAGAGTGGTAAATTATTCAAAATCTCATCTAAAAGCCCAACTTAGCCCAGTAGTTTCAAGCCTCCTCCTTTGCAAAAAAGAGAAGAAAAGATCAATTTAGGTAGCCCGTAAATAAATCGGCTGAACACGAAGGAAATAATGTTTATGGTCGTTTGTTTAATTTTAACCGATCAAGCAAATGAATACAAACAATTAAATGAACAAAATTTTTTATTTGTGTTCGTTCATTAAGGAATATAGTTAGTTCATGTTGTTTTATGTTCGTTTATTAAAATGATGAACAAACACAAATGAACGAATGTAAACGAATACAAATGGACAAATAAAAAATTAATTCGGTTTGTATTTGAGAATATTTTTTATTTCTAAATAATTTTATAGTTTATATTTCCTTTAATTGATTAGAATATTTTTATTTAGTTTTAAAATTAATTAGATTTTAAAATATTAAAGCATTTAACGTTAAAATTTATTAGGCTATAATGTTTTAAATAAGTTTGAAGATTGATCTGAAAAATAAATAAACGAACGTAAATAAATATAAACGAACGAATATAAATAAACACAATAAATATATTATCAAATGTTTACGAATATAAATGAACAAATGAAATATTCATTAGTATTCGTTTATTAATTAAAAAATATAAAATTTTATTTATATTCATCTATTTAATAAATAAATGAACATTCGATTTATTGAACTATAGGTTGGTTTGCAAGCCTAAAATTACGGCTTGAGTCCATGTTCAAAAATCAAGCCATGAAGTCCAAGGGTTTTCTTCTTCAGTCGTTTGCTATCGGGGTTTGAAGTTCCTTGGCAGAAAGCGTCACATACGTTAGAGCGATGGAAAAAAACAGTTTTTTCATTCAACTTTGACGAAAACAAAAATGGTGGAACATATGCTAGAAAACCGAAGCTCTTAACCCGAGTCAGATCCAATTACTTAAAAAGCAAGAAGAGTGCAAAAAGAAAATGAAGAATCAAAGCAATCTAATGGAGTGGTTGAATCAAGTGGTGGGAGAGCCGTATTATTTCTTCCATTTCCTAGCTTTCTTCTCTTATTTCATCGTTCGGAGCTCTGCTGCTAATATCCTTTCCCCTCAAATCACTCAACATCTCTTTCATAGGGTAATTTCTCGTTCTCCCCTCCCTTCCTCAATCTTCCTTTCACCAAGTAAACCCCATTTTTCTAACCTTAACAGATCGCTAATTTTCTTATTTCGGATTTAGGAAATTCAAGCGATTTTGGCCTTTCTGATGCTGTCAGCGTACAAGGTAATCGAAGCAACTTAGGAAACTAATTTCTTTGAATGTGTGATGTACTGTTTATTTTTTCTCTGCTTTTCATACAGATGGTAAGAGAAGAAACATGGGAGGGTTTTATTGCTGATGCTTTGTTTTTTGGAAAGGTTAGATTGCCCATTTATTTGATTGTTTGTTTCATTTTAATGGATACGATTTGCAACTAAAATTTCCCATTTTTCTCTCTCTTTTTTTTAGATCTTTCTTATTGCCCTTACTCTAATAATGGACTATCACTTGACTTTGTGGTATATAGTGCTATTTTCAGGTATAATTGTTGCTTATCTTGCTATGGTAATTTTATAAGTATCATGGTTTATGCACTAATTGTTAGATCTTTAAAAATTGCAGATTTATGATGACATTGTTTTTTTTTCAGTGATATATGTTATAGCACAACAACCCCCTTTCGAAAAACTTGGTACTAATGGATTTTGAATCCTTTCTTACTTAAAAAGGACTAGCATGCCATTTTGATAAGAACGCTGTTTCTTCTGTTTATGAATTGAATTTTCTAGGTTCTTCAAGTAAGCTAACACCATTGCAATTGGAAGCTTTGCTAACCGAAGGGAACACACCAAGATTTTGGCTGGTTGGTTCCAGTTTTCTTTTCCTTTGATATTAATGTTCAATAACGTATAGGATGATCTCTTCTTAAAATTGCATGCTCTTGGGACTTATGGAATAGTTGTTATAACCTGCATTTAAGTGGTACCAAAGCAACATCATGTCTTACTCATTAGTTAGTGGTAATTCTTGAACAATATAAGGGAACATTGGTATTATTTATGAAGACGGTTAAAGCACTGGTATTGCTCGTTTATGCTTAAAGTAGTTACATACTGAGAAATTCAACTTAAAGAAGTAAACTTGCAAACTAAGTTCCTTTTGTGCTACAAAAGTCGACATTCAATTACAAAATTTAATTTTATTATCTTTTATTGAACTTGATGCCCCCATGTTTTCATGGATGACAACCATGCTTTGGCAGGTAGAATTCCGTGCTTCGTTTTCATCAGGTTGCAGACGTGCCAGTCGGTGTTTTCCTGAGCTGTCAATCACGTACGTTGGTTTCCAAAATTATCTACTTTGCTCGTTTATTGTCATTAATAAGTTTCCAATAGTACTCAATGTTGACCTTGTTCAGATACTCGAACAAAAATCTATCATTTGGAATAGTTGATCTTGGACTTTTCCCAAATGCTGCAGAAAAATTCGGAATCTCTCCTGGAGGTGAGTAACATATATTAATTATAAAGAGAGAGCTCAGTAAGTTTTAGATCTCGTATTACTTATTGTGAATGTTGGTAATTGTAATGAATTTACGTGGAAATCTTGTACTCACAGGAAGCATGGGACAGCTTCCCACATATATACTATTTGAGAATGATACAGAGGTTTCACGCTTTCCCGAGTTCAATTTTGAAGAAACACCTACACCTCCTATAACTACGGTAATGTACATGTTCGTGCATATATACATGCTTATGTTTTTCAGTTGGCACTTGACGTTGCATGTTCAGCACTCATGTATTTTTACTCTAGGTAATTGTATAATTTGTTTTTGGATATTGTTTATTTGTGTTGCAGCGGCTTCTTGCTCGCCATTTTGAGCTCGACCGGCTTCTCCTTGAATATGTAAATGGAAAATAGCTGATTCATCTAAGGCTATACCTGGCAATTAAGCTATAAACTTTGATTCTCGATATGGACACCTAAAGAGAAGCAGAGATTAAACCGAGCTTCCCGCATAATTACGAAGTGCGGTTAACTTTCTTGTTTTCTTGTGCATTTGATTGGTGGATTTTGTTTTTGGCAGTTTGACATTTTTTGACAGACACAAAGTGGAATATGAAAATATCTTAATGTTTTTGGAATACATGTAATATGATAATTAACTAGCCTATGAAACGTTCTTCATAATCATACTGAATGTAGTACTGATACAACGAGTCTGAAATAAAAATTATTTGGCTAAATTATACTTTTAGTGTCTAAATTATTAGTTTTAGTCTGCTTTAATACCTTAACTTTCAATTTTTTTAAAAAATTATAGTTAACGTTTAGTTTTTGTTTCATTTTAATAATTCATTGTTAAAATCTTAACACATTTAATATTTAATTATTATTAGTTTTTGTTTGTTTTAGTACTTAAACTTCAAAAAACAAATTCAAAACTTAACATTAAAATTTTAATTAAATGAAACAAAAATTAAATGTTATGTACGATTTTGAAAAAAAAAATTAAAAATTAAAATATTAAAATTGATTAAAATCGATAGTTTAAATATTAAATATATAAATTATTTTGTATGAGAGTAATTTTGGGCTTTGGAATGTGGCATGTTCTCATGGGCTCATAAATTGAAGTACGTCTATGTCACTGCCCTTACGTAGTAGTTTACTCCACTATTGATCATGTCACAGCCAGGGGATTTCTAAAATAGATAACGAGATTTGCTTGCTACTCATAAAGTGGTTCCGCCGAGTTTTCTGGGTTTTTAAAAAAAATTAGGGTTGAAAAAGGCAAAAAAACATGGAAGGTAATTGAGAGTAGGGAATGATTAAGAAGCGGAAGAGTGAGCCAAAATCCTCTATTTCCGCGCCGTTGAGTGGGCACTGCCACTGCCACTGCCATTTGATTGTCGGCCGTCCACTCTCTGTCCACTTTATTTCTCACTCACTCCTCCCCCCGTTCACTTTGAACATTTTATTATCCCTTCATTCTTCTGCCACTGCCATCTGCAATTTATGACATCAGATTCTATTACAACCTCTCTTCATTTGTAATGCCACCCAAATGATCTACATCCTTAAACTCTTCACTTTTGACACGTTTATTTGTAATATATATACTACGAATATACGTATATATTCACAAATAACCATTGATACTCTTTTTATGATAATGAAATTAAATACTTATAAGATTAACATCACAATGGAGTTACAGCTAAGGAAGAATGGAAGATGGGTGAGTAACGAATCAATAAATTATAATCATATTTAAATACGAATACATTTGATTGTATCAACAAATAAATTATAAAATTAAATTAAACTATTGAAAGATCACTAATAATCATAAATTGGGTTCCATTATCGTAAGAAAATTATCTCTGAACGTAAACTATATATTCAAATATAATTCAAAAGTTCAAATTAGAGAATACAAAAAATGATAACAAATAAAATATCATATTTATGAGTCGATGCAACTATGAGAAAATTAAACAATTAATAAAAAATGAAAACATATCAAAAAATAAAGAAAAACATGTCATAAAAATAAAATTATTATAAACTAAAAAGAAAAAAAATAAAAATACAATCGGATAAAGTAGAAAAAAGGAAAAATATTCAGTCTGCTATCAGTATTAAATTAATACTACCATCAACCAAACAAAGATAAGAAAAAAAGAGACGAGTGACGCAAAACTAAAAAATAATTTTTATAAATAATTTAGAATAAATAAAAGATAATATATATTTAAAAATTTTAAATTATTTTGATAATAAACACTCATAATCCCTAACAGATCAAAATATGAAAGGTTATCGATAATCACTCAAGCTAAAAATGAATTTTGTTTTACAGTTGCATGTATAATAACATAAACTAGTACGTTTTCTCACTTTATTAGTAGATCGAATTTGCTCTTTATAAAGCATACAGATTTGATAGTTAAAAAAGATTTATTCCTTTGCTTTAACATTTAAATCGGCAATACATATATTAAATATAAATCTTTATCAACTTATTATTTGATAATTACTCGTAATTTTATTTTATTGTTTACCGCGCGTGAAAGTGCTCAAATATTTTTATTAAAAAGGTTATTTAATTTAAAATTTAATAGTATAAATGTGATTAAGTGAAATACTTGGTTTACAAAATATACACAGACTCAAACCATTTAAGTGTATGGAAGTAAAGACGCGTATTTTGGGCTAACGGATTAAAGTCTAATTAAGGATGGTAGTAGTCAAATCCACTTAGGTTGGTCAGCCATTGCTTGATTTATAGCCATTTGCTTAAAGAAATTCAATTTCCGCATAGCACATTTTATGTGAATCAACGTTTATACGCCAGACTTGAATCGACGTTTATAGTACTGATATTGATATATGAACCATATGAGTTACATATTAATAGATTACAACCATCCATCTATTTTAGTTATTTATTTGATTGAAGTAATAAGATTTCATATTAAGATTTATTTTATAAATTAGGTGTGTTATGTCTTAATTGTTTTTATTTAAATTTTATATAAATTATTTTTGCTTTATATTTATAATTATCAATTTTTTTTGTAGTGATACAATTATATTGTGTTTGTAATTTTTAATAAAATTATTGAATTTATAACAACTTTAAAAAATAAAATATAACTAAAGTTTTAAAATATTCTTTATAAAAATTTATATATTGATAATAAAATTATTTTCTAAAATTTAATTTATATATGTATATTTTATTTGTTTGGATAAGTAAATTATATTTCATCCAAAAGAATGCAGACTAGCTGCGACAAACAAACAAATTCACCTCACTAGGATAATCCCCAGTTTCTGTACAAATGCCTATTTACATCATCATGCCTAAACATGCCATATCTACACAACTTGGTTCTCACATCTACTTTTATACTATTTACAATTACTTCAATCGAACTGGTCGAGCCCCTGAAGTGTATATGGTTGCGCTCCTCCCAAATAGAGTACAACAAACCAGTCCAAGCAAGTTTCAGAATACGAACTCTAAGGGATTTGCCCTTCAAGTTCGCAATCAACCAATTAAAAAACTCATTCCAAGTATGCAATTCATATCGAACTTCACAGGAAGTTAGGACAATACTCCACACTTCCTTAGCAAAGGAGCATTCAACAAAGAGATGATCACGACTTTCAATGACAGAGCCACACATCCCAAAAACATTGTCAATAGCCAAACCAAAACGAACAAGCCTATCTTTAGTAGGCAACCTATCGAGAATGACCATCCACGAGATTAAAGAGAATTTAGGTATGTGAGCAGGGAACCAGATCAGCCTATGCCAATTTACCTTTTCCTTGCAGTCTCATATGTTATCCCAAATCCACTTTCCTTTAATAAGATTCCAGCTAGCATAAGGATAAAACAATCTTCTAGCCTCCTCTGGCATATTCAGAAGCTTGGTAAGGATCCAACTGAAATGGGGTTTGCATTCTACATCCCAATAGCTAACTGTTTTGAAGCAATACTCTTTGATCCAGGAAATCCAGAGCGAGCCCTCATTAGCCAGGATGTTTTTTTTACTAATAACAGGCAACATGCTCTACTCCATACCACAAGGTTTCTAAGACCCAAACCACCCTCGGATTTCAAGGAGCAAATATAATTTCAACCCACACGAGCTCCCCTAGCTGGGGCGTCACTGCTTTTCCAGAAGAAACGCATACAAAGGCGTTCAATATCCCTGATGATCCCCTTAGGAAGAATAAATTTCCTACTCCAGTAGTTAAATATGCTAAATAATACAGTTTTTACCAATTGGAGCCTACCCCCAAAACTTAAATTCTTGTTAGACCTTTGGCTGAGTTTATCTCTAATCCTTGTGTTGAAAACATTTTTAATGTTTTGATATAACAAATTAAGTATAAATAAATTTTAAGATTTTACAATCTTTTCAAAGTATATTCGATTCAATTATTCGAATATCAAAATATTACTCCAAGATTTTCAAAGATCAATTTCAATCCTTACTAAAGTGTAAAATTGTGTTTTAAACTTAAAATATTTTTGAAACAATTTTACAAAGTATTTCGAACCAAAATCAAGCCAAAAATTAATTTTCCAAAGGGATGTACCGATGCACTCCATGATGCATCGATGCACACCCATTTCGAATACATTTTGAGTACCGATGCATAAGCCATGCATCGATGCACTCTTGAATATTTTGAAACATCGAATGCATTTTGTGTACCGATGCACAGACCATGCATTGATGCACTTCTGGCTCTTTTGAAACATCAAATGTAATTAATGTACCGATGCACCCCTAGTGTACCGATGCACTAGGTCTTATAACGGTCGAAATATTTGAATATTACACATAGTGTACCGATGCACCTTGAGTATGCATCGATGCACACACGTTCCCAACTGTTTTATTTAATTGTTTTCACACAATAACGACTCTATTGACTTTATCAATGATCCCCAATGTTCAGAAGTGATTCAAGGTGTATTTAAACAAGCTTAGGAGTCATTGATCAACAACAATTGTGAGAGAAATAAAGAGAAAACTTTAAACCTCAAGTTTAAGCATTTTAAGCCAAATTTTCATTCAATATTCATTTTTCTTTTAAGAACACTTATTGTTCTAAATTGTATTCATTTTTTAGTGTTCTTTCTTTGTTCTAGAATTGTACAAACATCTTACCTTGTGAGGTTTTTCTGTAAGTTTGCAAATTTGTGTATTTCTCTTTGGGAGAGGGTGTTCTCAAGAATTTGGGGTATAATTCTTGAGGGAGTTGTAAGGTTACTCTTTGTCCTAAAAAAAAAAGAAAAAATTAGTGAATTTGTTGGAAAATCCTTAGTGTGGATAGCTAAGGTAGTGGATATAGACTTTGGTTGAGAAAGTCGAACCACTCTAAATCGCTGTGCAAATATTTTCAATTTTCTGCAAAATCTTCCTCCAAAATTTTTATTGCCAATTCACCCCCTCTTGGCTATTTCTTTGATCATTTAACTCAATAATTGGTATCAAAGCCTCACTCATTTGAAGGTTTAATTGCCTCTTGAGTCGATTTGGGAAGAGTTATATCGATATTCAAGTCATCAATGACATCTACTTCAAATTTCGACCTTGGTCTTGATTCAATGCCTGA